AAATCCCGGGACAAGCAAAGGACCGGAAGATGAGAAACACTAACCGTCACTTTTACTGTATAAGCATTTCCATACCTTTTGACTCACCGGAAACTTTACTGTCTACATCAGTGTTTCCCAACCTTTTCTGTGCTATGCCCCACCTAAGCCTTTCTAAAATTCTTATGCCCCCCATAACATATACAGCGGCTATATGGTTAAATTAACTTAAACTCTGGACGAGTCCATTTTCGAATTGCCCTCTTAACAATCAAATTGCCCCCTGTGGGGCGTGGACCCCACGTTGGGAAACACTGTTATAGGTCTTGCCTTTTCTATACCTAACATGCAAGTTATTTCAACCGAAACATAATAGAATTTTATATGTTATCACTTCATTCTGCGTGCTATTTAGAAAAGACTCGGACAAAAGGAATCACCGAAAAATATTTAAATGAAACTGCTGTAGCTTGTCAAAACTGCCAATGTCTTCCGCTGTAATTGTAATGTGTGCTAGTATATTTGCGAAGCCTAAGCAGTTAAATAGTGACTGATACCTGGCAACAAATGTTTCTATTTCTTGCACAAATTAGGAGTTATTGTTTGGAGAAAATAAATTATGATTAAAATTGCAAAATTTGATTAAAAATATCGAATACAATAAATAATGTAAATCATGGCCCCCACATGATAGTAAGTGATAGGACCCTAGTCAGGAAACCGGGTTCGTCGGCGGCGGCATGAAGATGACCAGCTATATTTGTTGCTTCGTTTGGATTTTCTTGTGGAATGTTGAGTTCAATTTAATTAGAATATTTAATTCTTGACGTAGTTTAATATTCTAAGGTTTGCTGAAGACGTGGCAAAGAAACTCAACTTGTCGGGAGCGACTAAATAATCTAACAATTTTGTGCATTGGAAATCATTTAGCTAAACCAGGGGTCGCCAAACTTTTTTAACCGTAGACCCCCAACCACTTTCCAAAACATCACATTGACCCCCACCGTAAAGTTTTATCACAAGTGTAAGTGTATGAGCAAAAAATGAAACGTTGTGATTTCTGTATGAGCAAAAAGAAAAAAGGTTGTGGGCCTTTAGCCGCGTCAACCCCCTAATTGACCCCCTAGCCGCATCGACCCCCGAATGATGTTGATGTCGATATCGACCCCTGGGGGTCGATATCGACCACTTTGGCGACTCCTGAGCTAAACAAACAAATTTCAGTGACGTAATCGAAAAATTTGCTTGGGCAAAAGCCAGAAAATTTACTGCAAAATAATTTAATCGATAAATTCTTGGGTTTTGTCTTGTTGATGCGCTTTGTTTTTCAATTTCTGTCATTCTTTCAGTTCTTGTGTTGGTTCCTATTTTGTTTTTAATGTCGGTTGTTTGTTTGTTTATTTATGACAGCGCAACACTTGGGCTATCTGTCAAGGGGGATGCCTTCCGGGAGGTCTTTTTAAAGGAAACTGGCCCCTATTTAAGCGTTACAGACGTGGAGAAAATTCGGAAAACTCCACGTGGCCAGCCCGTCCTAGCGAGGCGCGGACTCACGACCGAACTCCCAGTGTTCAGGGAACGGAACCGCTTGGCCACTGGTGGGCCAGAACGTTTCTCGGACTGGAACTGTTGGAACTGATTCGAGTCCAAACTCTTTCGACAGAAGTTTCTCGGAACTGCTTAGTCTGATGGATTACACGTTTTTACAGAATCATTATATTTTGTCGGAATTGCTGTTGGACTCGGCGGTTTCTTATGTTTTTATATACGGTATATAGATAATAGAATAGGTGCTCCTCCTGATTTCATTCCTATTATTAACTCCTGAACCTTCTGCCCGATCTGTACCAAACTGTAATACAACAATATTTCGGTTTTCAAACGCACACTTGACGATGCATTACAGATTTATTTCATTACTAATTATTCCAAAGTTCATTTCATTATAAACAGTTTGAAGGAATTATTATCGCATTATATACATTTTAAAACAACAATGAAAGAAATTGTGATCTGTAACGAACGCACCGCCAAGTGTGCGTTTAGATGTTAGATACGTAAAGAAAATCAGTAATCTCCACGTGATGAGGCCATTGATCGGGTGAGAACCAGTGTTTGGGTGTTTTATCGATTAGGTCATTGGTGGGCCAAAAATAAAAACTTATCATTGTCCGATAGCCTTAAAAATAAACGAATTAAATAGAAAAAGTTTTAATCACTTTTGTATAATGTTTTTTATAATTATAAAATATAAAGTTTCGAGGTCTCGCGATGTTCTAGGTACCATCCAAATGGCTTTGCTGGCCCTTTATTTGTACCGAATATAAGTGCTTTTACTTTATAAAAGTATTACATAAAATTATATTAATTTAAAAATAGAATAATTCACGAATTATACCTTTTAGACAACAACGCCAGAGTGTCGACTATAGTATCTTCATGGAATTAATCTTAACGATTCAATGAAAGTTTATGAAACGTTCCATTTAAAATATGAGATAAAAATATCATCGATATTAATTTGATATGATATTACAGTATTTAAAAGTTTTGCTTTGTTAATTTTAAATTAAAAATCTTTAAAACAGAACATGTGAAATGTAATAAAAATTACAAAATATTTCGAAAATTTTCAATTTTTTATTCGTTTAAGAATGATTTAAAATCATTTTTAAATTAATCAGAATCGCATTCTTCTGGAAGTATGCACAAGCCACTTGGAGCTCTTACATATCCCTTTTTGCAAAAACATCCTGGAACACATATTTTGATACAGAGCCTTACTGGATTTTGGTAATTATCGCATGTGTCTGGACACGCAGTTCCACATTCGTGATACTCTTCTAAAGCTCCACAATCATCATCACCTGAAAACAACAATGAAATATTGAAATTATGATTATTGCTGAATATTCAAGTGGTATTTTGCTATAATTCGAAACAGATCTGCGAAGATTTTTCCATTTATCTCCATTGTAATGCAATGAATTGAAAACCCCGGATTTGTATTTGTTAACGCATGATATAACACTATGATATGAATTCGTGTTTGGATTCGTTTAGGACAGGCGTGGCGAACCTATTGCATGCGTGCCCAAAGTGGAACAAAGGATAAATCATCTGGCACGTAACGTATCACGATTTCGATTTATCATCTGTCTTTTTCAATCGTCCTTTCGGTTTATCACCTGATCATCCTTTTGAAATCACTTTTTTTACATTTATTGTAGTTAAAGCATATTCGTTTAATTTATTTAAAAACTTTGACACTATAAACATCTATAAACTTTGACTATAAACATCTTTATAAGAAAGTATGCTTACTCTATGGCACGTAGGCTCAAAAAGATTCGCCATGTGCCATAATTCTTAATGAATAGTTTACTCGTTATTAGCGTTCAAAATTTAAAAAAAAAAATGAAATAAAACTCGTCTTTACCCTCAAAGTAAGCTTTTTTGCCATTTTATAATAGTACAGTAAAACCCGTTAAGATGTTCTCGCTTAAGATGTTAGAATGTATATGGGGACACGATTTAGTTCAACCACTTTGACTTAAATAACTAACTCCCGTGTTAGACCATCTGACTCCGATTCTGATCACTCTGACCACAGAAATTATTAGGCTTCAAACAGGGTGGACGAAATCATGCCCCCCCACACAGTCTAACATCCACACATATAGTAAAAAAAAAACCTCGAATCTTTTGCGTATCTCGAAATTTCGAGGTGTCCCGAGTCCAAAAATGTAAAAATTTGGGAGGGGTCATTTTTTGACCGAGCGCTATACTTTTCCTCTGTTATATATAACAGCCGGAAAAGTAAAAATTATCGAATACATATTTATATATNTTACAAAATATTTCGAAAATTTCAAGTTTTTATTTGTTTATTTATGATTTAAAATCATTCTTAAATTAATCAGAATCGCATTCTTCTGGAAGTATGCACAAGCCGCTTGGAGCTCTTACATATCCTGTTTTGCAAAAACAGCCTGGAACACACATTTTGTTACAGATCCTTAATGGTTCTTGGTAATTCTCGCAGGTGTCTGGACACGCAGTTCCGCATTTTCGAAATTCTTCTAAATCCCCACAAACATCATCACCTGAAAACAACAATGAAATATTGAAATACTAGTAGCCCGGGACACCCCCTAGTGGGCGTTCTTTACAAATTACCATAAGGCACGGTTCCTTTGACTTTTTTGTTCCTATCAATATGCTCTACAGCTCTGTTAAAGTTTCAATCGCGTCGTACGGTTCTAGATTTCTACGTATTAAACATTCTGTAAATACTTTAAAGTAGTTTAATTTGTTTATTTACCTTCGCTTGTAAATCTCGATTTTAAATGTATGCGCCATTTTTTAACAAATTTCTCGTGAGTCAATGCGCGACGTTCACTGAGTCACGTGATGTTGTAAACGTGCTGCGCAAGGTTAATCAAAGCATATACAGTAGAGCCTCGATTATCCGACCTAATTGGGGACGGGTTGGTCGGATAATTGAAAAGTCGGATAACCGAAAAGTATGAAAAAATCCATTATTAGTGTAGTATATTATTATATCCCAGTAATTAGTATATTAGTATATTAGTATATCGCTATTAACCTACTTCATCGATGTTAAGCCTAACAAAAATTTTTAAAAATAATAATCGTCGCTATTGTATCGTTAAAAATTAGAAAATTAAGCCTCGTTTAAATACTGGCTCCCTTTCATGGTCGAATGAGGGTTGCCAGCTAAAACACGTAAAAATAATATTAAAGTAGCCAAGACATAGTGAAATATTGTAGCGCCACATCATTAGCGGACATTTGAAATTTGCCGACTAGGACGGTCAGTTAACCGAAGTGTCGGTTAATTGGGGTCAGATAATCGAGGTTCTACTGTAATAAGGCAAGGCATATAATAATTCTTTATACCATTCCGTGGTATAAATAATAAATTCATATCAATAATAAATTTCTATTACAAATAAAAATAATTTATTGTTACTTTAAAATCATCGCTAGGGCGCCTCTAGTGCCCGTTTTTGGCATACCGTTACGCGGACGGACGGACATGCGTTCAATGGGTTATATAAATAGATTTAAATTATGATTTATTGCTGAATATTCAACTGGTATTTTGCTATAATTCGAAACAGATCTGCGAAGATTTTTCCATTTATCTCCATTGTAATGCAATGAATTGAAAACTTCGAATTTGTATTTGCTAATGACACGACACCACGATATGGACTATTCGACATCAATCACCATGAATGAAAAAACCCCAATTTCTTATTCATGATCATTTATTGGGAGGAATTAAACTCACAATAGGGTGACTTTATTATAGAATTATATCTATAATTTTATCTTCTTATCGGTCAGATGATCGAGTGATTAAAGATAAAGAAATCCCAGAAACTTTTTGGGGATGAACCATCCTGATATATTGACCAATCGACTGACCCATTATGGACCCATTATCACCTCTCATGCCCACAGGGAGGAAAATTAAAAAAAAATATATCGTTCTCTTAACAGGCCGACTAATTTCAGTTGATTAACATGGATAAGGAACAGGAAATATCAACTTAACTCTAGCTATTCACGAATTTCAGAATGAATTCAACACGAATCCATTTTGTAAAAACTTTTCATTGTAAGAAATACGTAAAATAAGTGTTCAATATTTTTATTGGGAAGAAAATTCTTGTATTCTCATGCAACGAAAGAATATCAGCTAATTTGAACACTTTTGTGCAAACTGTGCAAATAAAAATAATATTAAACTATACCTTACCGTGAGGACAATAGCAACAGCAACGGCAGTAACGAATAAGAGAATGGTTTGCATCTTGAAAATTTGATTCTGAATCGAAAAAGAGGATTTATATGTATATACAAATTTTCGGACTGAGCAAGGGACATCTGGTTTACGATGTTACTGTTATTTTAGATGATCAATGATAAGATTAAGAAACAAGGTTTTTCAAATATTTATACAAGGTTAATCGATAAAAGCGTTAAAACTTTATTTAATTAGATTTTATATACAGTACTGTATATTAAAAAAACCCCCGAAAAATATAAAAAAAGATATCTGGAG